AGACACAAGAGGCTCCCAAGCTTTTAACAATTCAAAATTAAAAAATCATTTCAAAATATCATGAAAATAACAAACTATCATGAAAATAACAAATTGGATAAGTAGTACTGGGGAGAAAATGAGAAAAGTAAAGAGTAATGGGGAGAATATGAGAAAAGTAAGGAGTAATGGGGAGAATATGAGAAAAGTAAGGAGTAGTGGGGAGAATATGAAAAAAAAAAAAAAATTCTTACCATCATCAGCTGGAATAACGAGAAACTACAATTTGTAAACTTAGTTTAAAAAAAATGCAGTACAACTATAAGGGGAACTGGAGCTGCCCTCTGCTTCCTTGGATCCAGCTAGATTGCCTCCCATTCTTACTGCTGTATGAGCTGTATAGCCCTTGTGGCTCAATAATAATAATAATAATAATAATACTGCTGTATGAACTTTATGCATTGAGCACTTCCCCTTGTTTACACAGTCTTCACAAAGTTGTAGAATACTGGAATGTCAGCTAAGAGCTACAACCACTGGAAATTTAGACCGTTTAAAAAGTAAGGTGAATAAAATTGAGGTGGACAGTAGTAGTAGTAGTAGTAGTAGTACATCCTGGGAAGATTGAGGTAGACTGTAGCAGTAGAGGACAACCTGGGAGGTGTTGGAGAGAAGGCGAGATGGTTTTGAATGGTAGGGGCTTGAGCAGCCAGTATTCATGCTGGAGCTTGTTACATCAGAATCAGTGGAGACAGTTATTTTTTTTATCACTTGGCATGCTGTTGGAGTGTAAGCAAGGTAACATTCATGAAGGGATTCACAGGAAACTGGCTAGCCAGACTCGACTCCTTGGGACTTACAGTGCCTGCACTATATGAGAGGGACAGAGATGCTGCAGTTCAGAGTGTCATTTGAATTGAAATGTCAAGACAGCAGTTGAATGAATGGTGGTGAAAATTTCCTCGTTTTTCAGGTCACCCTTCCTCAGGAGGAAATGGTCAGTTTGATAAAAAAAAATTAGTTATGCCTAAAAGTGATGTTAATGAAAATTCAATAACCCTTGTTACATATTTCACTAAGAAATTTTTCATTTTGTATATTCTTCACATCAGTACTCCTGATGGGAGGTCTTTGATGCTGGAAAGTGGCTCTTGATCAAATGAATTGCACTTATCCTCCCCTCATTTGAATCATAGGTGACTCTCAATCCCTAGGAATGGTATGACCTCCACAGGTCTACTACATTCTTCTAAATATGTATGATAATTTGAAGAATTAAAAAGAGGTTAGAGTTTACAACTAAACAATCAATCTAACAAGAAACTAATGTGAAGGACTTAGAAATGATAATGTCAAGAGGATCTCACTTTGTCGCTATGGGAACTACAAGGACAAAAATAGGATCGATAATGAGTACCTTCAAAACAAGAGAGGCCAAGCCAGTGATGGTCCTCTTTAAGTCACTAGTTCTCCCTTGGCTGGAATACTCCTCCACTTTAACAACCTCTTTTAAGGCCGGCAAAATCACAGACAAAGAATGTACAGAGAGCCTTCATTGCACGTATAAATGCAGTCGAACACCTAAATTATTGGCAACACTGGAAAACCCTTGACCTGCATCCTTTGAAATGTAGGTGAGAAAGACACATCCCAAAATACATCTGGAAAACTCTATACGGACTGGTCATGAATCAGCACAGAGAAATCAATTCCTGCGAAAACAAGTGGCTCAACAGATGATGCAAAACTATACCCCATTGAAAAGCACGGGCGCTTTGGATGCATTAAAAGATAACACCATTAATGTAAAAGGCCTAAAACTTTTCAGCAACCTTTTTTCATATGTAAGGAGTATTACTAACAGACTCCTTGCTGTCTTCAAGAGGGCAGTTGATAAGTTTCTCAAGTCAGTTCCTCAGTCTGGCTGTTGTTTGTACATATGACTGTAGCCAGCAGTAACAGCTTGGTTGATCAGGTCTTCACCCACCAGCAGGCCTGATCTGGAACTGTGCCGTAGGGGTGTTGACCCCTGAAAATATCCTGGGGTATTGTCGACAAACACAATAGTTGTGTTCCTAAAAACGGCATGTTAGTCAAAAATGGTGTTAACTGAACTGATGAATGCATGAAGAAAATAGGGTTATGCCCCAGGAGCCCCAAGAATGAAAAAAAAAAAATAATTATTTTAGGTCTTGTAGTGAGGTGTACATAATTACAATACTTGTACGTGTAGTTACATAAATTTTTCTTACTCTAAATTCTGGTTGCTGGTGATGTTGATCTTGAAAGGCTTAGAGAAGGTGTAGCCCATCTGGGCCATTGATGATGGTTGTGAATCATAGGCTGAGGTTAATGGCTGGAGTTCTTGGACTGTTGTCAATGCAGAGCTATCATTAGATGATAGTTGTGTTGGAGTGCTCAGGTATTCTGAAATGTAGTACTTCACACTGCTGACATTAAGGCATAATTGCCCACTCAGTCTGCTTCAAAGCAGTGCTTCTGAATGTGTCTGGGTTCCCTTCTCTAAAAATGTCTGCTATTTTACCAGCAGCATGGAACTGCTCATGTAACTGCATGTTTTTCTTGCTCATAACCTTGTTATCTTTCGTCTATCTGGGAAATGAACTCTGCCAGCATTCCCTCTAGACTTACTTTCTTCCTCATCATCTATGTTTTCATTCATGTCTTCTGGCTTTATATCTTCAAATCCCTCATCTGGTAATCTTCTTGCCAGATGAAAAATTTCCTCATTTTGACTCTACCGAGGGAAACCCTGTAAAATTATTCACCAAACTAAACCATAATTTTCCCCAACCTTCATCGATTGTTGACTGAGGCAGCACTTCATTCCATGCACTATTGATGTAGTTTATTGCCTCTTTTATGTTAAATTTATGCCAGAACTCTGGCACTGCAAGCTCCAAGTCAGTATCCATTGCTGCAAGGCATTTCTGCATCATCCTGCATGTATAGCTGTACTTAAGTGTCCTAATAACTCCACAATTCAATGGATGCATCATAAGTGTTGTATTTGATGGTGAATATAACTTGCACATGTAGGTGCATATTCTCAAGAGCTCAGGATGAGTATGTGAATTATCAAGCAGGTTAAACCTGATTGTGCACATTAAACCTGCACAACCAGAAATAAAATGATGCTTCAGAAATAAAATGATGCTTAAACCAGTCGATAAACAATGGCTCGGTCATCTATGCTCATTGGTTAGATCTTCAAATAATGGGCAAAGTGCTTTTGTCTTTGCTGTTTAAAGCAAGGGGTTATTGGAGTAATAAATAAGCATGAGCTTTGTAGATGAATGGTTCAGAGAACCAACATGTTGATAAATTAGACACATGTGCAACTCTTGGGTATCTTTATTGAGGAAACGTTTTGCCACACAGTGGCATCATCAGTCCATACAAAGGAGAATCTTGAAGAACAGGAGGAGAATGAGGTAATCAGTTATCAACATGTCGGTTCTCTGAACCATTCATCTACAAACCTGTCAGACACTGCAACTTCTTGGGATCTTAATACTTGAATTCTTCGCTTGCCTAATTCTTGGGCACGACCTACTTCCACATTGAACAAATGTGACACCACCTATGACTGCTGCGCCTCTCCTGCCAACGGTTTATAAGCTCCTTCTCCACACGTATGCCGCATTCTATTCAAGATTGATGGACTGACCACATCGACTCAAGGTTGAGGGACTGATTACCTCATTCTCCTCCTGTTCTTCAAGATTCTCCTTTGTATGGACTGATGAAGCCACTGTGTGGCAAAACGTTTCCTCAGTAAAGATACCCAAGAGTTGCACATGTGTCTAATTTATCAAGCATGAGCTTACACTTAAACCACCTGATGCATTATCACACATAAGCAAGGTGAAAGAATTCTTTGCTGCCTTGAGTACATGCGCACTTTTCTCTTGCTAGCATCTTCTTCCAACAAACACCTGTCACGTCATCATTAAACACTTGCTCAGACTCGTAGCCACCCTCAAAAATAATTTCTTACAATTCTGTAGGGGAATTCCTGCTGGCATTGTGATAGAATGATGCATTTTCAGCATAAAAGTATTATCCTTCCATTTGTGCTAGACACCCAAGTGCCTGTGGGCATCTGGTTTTGGTAATGTTCCTTTTTTTTTTTTTTTTTTTTTTACACAGGGTTTGACAAGGCTAGGTTAAGGATCCTTAGCTTTATTGACAAGCTATTTACAGGTTAAGGATTCCTAACTTTATTGACAAGCTAAGAGCTGTTACCTACATCAGCTCATTTGAGAGCATTTTTATTGTCATGAGACATAAAAGTAGGGAACAGGATGAAGTTGGAGCCATCTGTGGGCCAGCATTAGTTGTTTTATACCCCAAGGCTCTGTGCTCTTATTTTTCTTGTTACAGATCATTATTATACAGTAGAATCTCGGCACTAACAGGTCCCTATTCGAACAATTCGGTATTCGAACGCTTTTTTCGGTAAAAAACAATTACTTGGTAGTCAACCATTTGCTTGGCACTCGACCAAACAAACACGACTTTCAAGAACTTTGCATTTTTGTTTTTTTTTGTTTTTGTATAAGTCACCATGGGGCCTACAAAGAGTAGTGATAACAGCCAACCAAAAAAGAAAATTGGTTGGGAAAAATTTGTTTGGTACTCGAACAGATCAGCACTCGAACAGCCTTTATTTATTTATTTATTTATTTATTTACAATTTGAGCCTTCTGGAACAAATTAAGTTCAAGTACTGAGTTTCCACTGTAATACATATTTCACATAGTATATACGTACATATATATTTAAGCAGTATTATAAGGACTGGTAATCAGCATTTACATTTCTTTTTGTAGCAAAATTATTATTAGGCAGTGAAAATTGTAATATTTAGCCATGAAATATGGAATATACACATCAGCTTATACATTTATGTATATTTTGCAGGATTTTTCTTGCCACAACACCCATATGATATAAAGCATACAATGAGCCAGGTAATTTACTTCACATCTTTTCAGGACTGCCGGCAACCATTCAACGGAGGCTCCTTCTTCGACCACGAGGGCATGCCATACTGCGAAACCCACTACCATGCAAAGCGAGGATCCCTCTGTGCAGGCTGCAGCAAGCCCATTACTGGTCTGTAACACATACTTCACAACACTCATACTTTTTTTTCCTTTATCTTATACACCTTTAGTCTTGCCCTATTGTCTCTCTACAGTGGTCTGAAACTTAACATAGTTAATTTTATATTTTACCAGTATAGATATTTTATCAAATACATTACTGATTATGAGGATAACAAAAAGATTAGGTGATGAAAGATTTGATATCAGATTGGAGGGAGAGAGTATGGAGGAGGTGAATGTATTCAGATATTTGGGAGTGGACATGTCAGCGGATGGGTCTATGAAAGATGAGGTGAATCATAGAATTGATGAGGGGAAAAGGGTGAGTGGTGCACTTAGGAGTCTGTGGAGACAAAGAACTTTGTCCTTGGAGGCAAAGAGGGGAATGTATGAGAGTATAGTTTTACCAATGCTCTTATATGGGTGTGAAGCATGGGTGATGAATGTTGCAGCGAGGAGAAGGCTGGAGGCAGTGGAAATGTCATGTCTAAGGGCAATGTGTGGTGTGAATATAATGCAGAGAATTCGTAGTTTGGAAGTTAGGAGGAGGTGCGGGATTACCAAAACTGTTGTCCAGAGGGCTGAGGAAGGGTTGTTGAGGTGGTTCGGACATGTAGAGAGAATGGAGCGAAACAGAATGACTTCAAGAGTGTATCAGTCTGTAGTGGAAGGAAGGTGGGGTAGGGGTCAGCCTAGGAAAGGTTGGAGGGAGGGGGTAAAGGAGGTTTTGTGTGCGAGGGGCTTGGACTTCCAGCAGGCATGCGTGAGCGTGTTTGATAGGAGTGAATGGAGACAAATGGTTTTTAATACTTGACGTGCTGTTGGAGTGTGAGCAAAGTAACATTTATGAAGGGATTCAGGGAAACCAGCAGGCCGGACTTGAGTCCTGGAGATGGGAAGTACAGTGCCTGCACTCTGAAGGAGGGGTGTTAATGTTGCAGTTTAAACCATACCCCGGCCGGGATTGAACCCGCAATCGTGTCATTACGATTTCGTGAGTCTTGCAGTTTAAAAACTGTAGTGTAAAGCACCCTTCTGGCAAGACAGTGATGGAGTGAATGATGGTGAAAATTTTTCTTTTCGGGCCACCCTGCCTTGGTGGGAATCGGCCATTGTTAATAAAAAAAATAATTACTGATTATGCAAGTCTGTATGAATGCGGCACAGGAGGGCACCTCTTTACAGTGCTTTGCTTTATGGCAGTTCACTAATGCAGGTGTTTTCAGGCATAGTAGTCCCTCCTTATCCATGGGGGATATGTTCCAAGACTTACCGTGGATACCTGAAACTGCAGATAGTGGTAAACCTTATATATGTCATTTTTCATTTACTTACATACCTATGATAAAATTTAGTTGATAAATTATGAATAATATGTGAAGAATTAGCACTTTTACACTGATGGGAACCACTTCATAACTTCTCATAGACTTTTGAAGAACTGCTAGCATTACTACTTCTGGGTTATTTTACTTTTGGGTTATTTTTGGGCCACTGTTCACTGGATAACTGAAACCACAGAATTGAATCTGTGGATATGGTGGCTCTACTGTATACCCATTCTCCATTTATTCAGACCTCATGCAATAAATATATTCACCACTCACTATAAGCTAAGGCTGAAAAATTTTTTAAGGTAAGTAATGTGTGTACTGTATATGAATTTTTTAGGCCTAACTCTATTGCTTACTTAATATATGATAGTGTAAACATTATCAGGCTTTTGTATACATTTGAACATCAAAAAAGGCTATGTTTCACTTTACAGTAATTTTCTCTTTACAGCAGTAACCTGGAACCTAACCTGCTGTATAAGCATACACATACTATACCTAATGCCACATACAGTAGGGTCCCGCTTTACAGCATTCTGCTAATGCAGCGATGTCAAATTATGACCAAAATTTGCTATACGGCAAGCGGTCTTTCAAATACGGCGTGCCCCACCCGGTTTGTTTACATTCTCCGTGACCACATCTATTATGTCAGGAAACTTTCCAAAATTTCAAGTGTTTTAAAGTTACTGCGTATTTTATATGTACTCTGATAATTATACTTATGTGTACCTGTACCTAAATATACTTACACACTGTTCTGGTGTGCAGGTACACATTAAAATCGCTAAGTCTCTCTACTCATGACGCCAACACTACATAATAATCATTCTTGGGCACACTAAATGTCTTATTTTACATCAATATAGGCATTTTCATTAATCCATCTATGATATTTTCCTCAAAATTATATATGAAACCCATTACATAGCATATAAACATGATACATACACTCACAGAATAAAAATTGATGTAAATATGAGATTTGTTTACAAAGCAGCTGTGTAGGTAGTGTTGGAAGAATAATGTTTTCTCTAGTCAAACTGGGGGATAACTGTAGAAAAATATTCTTTTCGTATGCCTTTACTCTATATATAGCAATTCACGACCCTTGTGGGTTTAGTGCTTTTTATAATAATAATAATAACAATAATATTATCTTCATTCACTCTAAAAATGGTGTGTTGCTGTTTGTTTATTCTGTACTAACTTGTACAACTTGTACACAATGTAAGAGTATTTGTATTGTGAGGTAATTATTATTATAATAAAAAATATTGAGGTAAATGTTTTACAATCTCTTACAAACGTACGTGAATGAACTAAAAGTAGACACATATTATTATGCATTTATTTCGCCTGACCAAGTGATCGCCCATTACCTGTTCAGTTTGTGTTCTTACATTGTCTGAACTCTGTATCTCGTTCTCTTTCTCGTTTACTCTTTCGTTAACTAGTTGGCTCTCATTGACGATGGCGTCTAAGGTCAGCTGTGATAAAAAGAGAAGTCGTAAGCCTCTTGCTTTAAGTGCCAAGTTAGATGATGATGGTGTGCCATTCTGATTTTATTCAATAAACACCCTGCCACTCACTTCTCACACATTAATATTAATATTTTAAGGTAAGTAATAAGTGTACTCTGTGTGTATCTTACCTTTTATTGTGTTTTTAATGCCTATTTCTATTGCTAACTTAATATAAGTTAGTGTAAACTTGTTGTCTGGCATTTATTGCATATTTTATATGTGCTCTGATAATAATACTTATGGACCCCTTTGGTAGCCGGGTGGAGGGATAACATTCAAATTCAAATTCAGATTCAAAGTTTATTCTCTATTAGGATTACAATGCCGAGTTTACAGAATTTGGTTATTGTGTGGTTTACATGTAGTAAAATAATGATTACAGAGTGTACCACTAGAACACCTAGCATGGCTAGGCATTTCGGGCAGACTTAGTTTAATTCTTTATTTTAAAATATTACAAATTATGAGGTAAGTTGGTATTATGGCTAAGTGACTAAATACTAGTTTGTGAGTTTAGCAATGTGAATGCTTTTGTTTTGGCACAGTACATAGTTTCAGTATTGGAGTATCACAGGATTCATTATTTTAAGATTGAGATTAATATTTCTGTTTATGGTCAAATGGGCGAGTGAGTGTAAGTGTGAACCACCAGGTGGTATTCGTGTAGTTAGTTGACGGGGTGTATCAGGGAGATAAGATGTTTTCTAATGGTAGTTTTGAAGGTGATGAATGTGTCTGCAGTTCTAGAGTTCTCAGGTAGGGTGTTCCAGATTTTAGGGCCTTTGACATACATTGAATTTTTGTAAAGGTTTAGTCGGACACGGGGAATGTCGTAGAGATGTTTGTGTCTGGTGTTATGCCTGTGGGTTCTGTCACAACTATCAAGAAAGCGTTTTAGGTCAAGGTTGATATTGGAGTTTAAGGTCCTGTAGATGTAGATTGCACAGTAGTAAGTGTGGATGTACTGAACAGGGAGTAAGTTTAGATCTATGAAGAGTGGGGGGGGGGGTGTTGCCAGGGATGGGATTTAGTGATTATTCTTACTGCAGCTTTTTGTTGGGTTATTATTGGCTTTAGGTGTGTTGCTGCAGTTGATCCCCAAGCACAAATAGCATAGGTGAGGTATGGATAAATAAGTGAGTGGTATAGTGTGAGAAGGGCATTTTGCGGCACGTAGTATCGTATCTTGGAGAGGATCCCAACCGCTTTGGATACTTTTTTGGTTATGTGTTGGATATGGGTGCTGAAATTCAGGTTGTTGTCAAGGTATAGGCCTAGGAATTTGCCCTCATTATGTCTGGTAATTAGAGTGTTGTTGATCTTAATGTTAATTTGTGCATCTCCTGCTCTGCTACCAAACATAACATAGTAGGTTTTGTCAGTGTTAAGCGTAAGTTTATTGGCTGTCATCCAAGTTGATATTTTGATCAGCTTCTCGTTAACAATGGTGTTGAGGGTGGCAAGATTAGGGTGAGAGATGACATAAGTCGTGTCGTTAGCAAAGAGAATGGGTTTCAGGTGTTGGGATATGTTTGGAAGATCATTGATGTATATGAAGAGCAGGGGACCAAGGACACTTCCCGGCGGAATTCCAGTATCAAGTGGCCGTGTTGTTGATGCTATGTCTTTAATGGTGACATTAGTAAGGTAAGATTTGAAATAAGCAAGCGCATGGCCTCTTATACCGTAATGGTCAAGTTTGTGGAGTAGGATGTCGTGGTCTACTGTGTCAAAAGCTTTTCTTAGGTCAATAAAAATTCCTAGTGGATATTCCTTATTTTCCAATGCTGTGTAAAGCAGATCTAGGATTTTTATGATTGCATCATTAGTGCTTTTATTTTTCCTGAATCCAAATTGGCAGGGGTTGAGTATGTTTTGTGCCGTTATAAATGAATATAGTCTCCTGTGCACGAGTTTCTCAAAGATTTTGGATAGCAATGGTAAGTTTGATATTGGCCTATAGTTGTTTAAGTCTGTAGGGTCACCACCTTTATGTATTGGTGTGACCCTTGCCATCTTGAGTAGTTTTGGGAAGGTGCTAGTTTCTAGTGACTTGTTAAAAAGTAATGAAATAGCATGCGAAAGGGCATGGGCCGCTCGCTTGTACAGTAATGGTGGGACACGAGACAGATTCTCCGAGTTATTTT